ACCCCAAACCCCGTGAAACCCCAAACCTCCTGAAACCCCGAACCCCCCGGATCCCCCGAATGTCCCACCCGTGCCTGACCCCCGTGTGGGTGGCAGGGAGGCCGATGTCCCCATCGACGTGGAGACGGTGACGCCCACGCCGGTGCCGCTGTACGACAACCAGAAGGCTCGGAGCGTGATGAACGAGTGCGAGCGGCACGTCATGTTCGCCCGCACCGACGCCGACGCGCCGCCGCCGCCCGACGACTGGGAGGAGCACGTCAACAGGTGGGCATGGGAGTATGGGAATGGGGGAATCTGGGCTGGGAGTGGGAATGGGGGCTGGGAGGAGCACGTCAACAGGTGGGCATGGGAGTATGGGAATGGGAATGGGGGAATCTGGGCTGGGAATGGGAATGGGGGCTGGGAGGAGCACGTCAACAGGTGGGCATGGGAGTATGGGAATGGGAATGGCGGGGGATACAGGCTGGGAATGGGAATGTGGGCTGGGAATGGCAGGGGATGCAGTCAGGGAATGAGAATGTGGGCTGGGAATGGGAGTATGGGCTAGGAGGAGCACATCAACAGGTGGGAATAGGGGCTAGGAATGGGAATAGGGGCTGGGAGGAGCACATCAACAGGTGGGAATGCCAGGGAATCTGGGTTGGGAATGGCAGGGAACGCCAGGGAATCCAGGCTGGAAGTGCCAGGGAATGGGAATATGTGCTGGGAATTCCAGAGAAAGGGGATCCAAGCTGGGAATTCCAGGGAATGGGGGTCCAGGCTGGTGGAGCACATCAAGAAGTGGGGTGGCAATTCCAGGGCAGAGGAAACAGGGATGGTTTGGTGTTTCCCTGGGTGACCCGGGTGTCTGTCCCCGCAGGACGGGCTGGACCATGGCCCAGAACAAGCTGTTCAACAAGATCCACAAAGCGCTGCAGTCCGACAGGCTGGCCCGCCTGGCCAACGAAGGGGTGAGAGGGGCTGGGCTCCAGCCTGGCCACAAAACCTGGGCTGCTCAGCAGGGGAATGTGGCCCTGGGGTGGCCTTGAGGGCTCCCCAAGCTCCCCCGAGCTGTGGGTTTTACGGGATTATAGAATGTCCTGGGCTGGAAGGACCCACGTGGATCATCAGGATAACCCCTGGGAGCCCTGCACAGACACCCCAAAATCCAAAGGCTCCTGGAGCTCTGGCAACCTCGGGGCCGTGCCCATTCCCTGGGCAGTGCCCACACCCTCTGGGGCAGAACCTTTCCCAGAACCCAGCCTGAGCCTGCCCTGGCCCAGCTCCAGCCATTCCCTGGGTCCTGTCGCTGTCCCAGGGATCAGAGCTTCCCTTGGAAGGTTTGGGTTGCTCTGAGGGCTCCCCTCAGACAGCTGTTGTCCTCACTCCAGATGTTTGGGCAGCCCACGCTGGCATTTCCCTGGGGATGGGGCTGCAGTGCCATGCTCCATCTTCCTTCCCCTGAACTGATTTTTGGGAATTCCTGCTTGCAGGCCTGCAACGAGCCCGTGCTGAGGAGGATCGCCGTGGATAAATGCGCCCGCAGGGTGCGCCAGGCCCTGGCCAGCGTCAACTGGGACACCAAGCTCATCCAGTGGCTCCACACCACGCTGGTGGAGACCCTGAGCCTGCCCGTGCTGGCTGCATACCTGGATGCCCTGCAGACCCTCAAGGGAAAGGTGACGAAAGCAGGGGGAGGCCTGGCTGTCACAGTTGGCAGAGGGAGAGGCTGGAATTGTTGTCCCGTGGTTTGGGTGCGTTTTCTCAGTGCCCCCTGGCCTGTGCTTGCAGATCCCCGCGCTGATCGACAGGATGCTGCTCTCCTCCACGGCCAAGACGGGAGCAGCAGGGGCTGAGGCGCTGTCCCTGCTGCTCAAGAGACCCTGGGACCCAGCAGTGGGTGTCCTGTCCCATAATAAACCAGTGAGTGCCCCGGGGGTGTGGGGGTCCCATGGCAGCTTCAGTCTTCCCATGATCTGCCCCTGTCCCCTCCCTGGGCTCTTCTGCCCCTGATTTAGACCTGCTCTGTGAATGGAAGGGACTCACCAGGATCATCAGTGCAATCCCCAAGACCCCAAAATCCCACCCTGAGCGTCCCTGGGAGCCCTGCACAGACATCCCAAAAATCCCACCCTGGGCATCCCTAGGAGTTCTGCACAGACACCCCAAAATCCAAAGGCTCCTGGAGCTCCGGCAGCCTTGGGGCTGTGCCCGTTCCCTGGGGCAGAACCTTTCCCAGAACCCAGCCTGAGCCTGCCCTGGCCCAGCTCCAGCCATTCCCTGGGTCCTGTCACTGTCCCAGGGATCAGAGGCTGGAGCTGTCCCTCAGACAGGACAGCTTCTGTTGGAGAAATTCTCCTGGGTGTCCTGAGGGAGTTTTGGCTTGGGAAAACAGTTAAAGAGCTGTGCAAGATCCTTCCCTCTTCCCTGTGGGGCAGGGAGGCCTTTCCTGGGAGCACTGCTGTCCCTGACCCGGCTGCTGTTGGACCTTGCAGAGCAAACTGCCCGGATCCCCCCTGATCCTCATCGCCTCCTCCGGCCCCGCCAACTCCCTGTTCCCCACGTCCCGGCGGCACCGCTTCTGGCAGTCCCAGCTCTCCTGCCTGGGAAAGGTCTGTGGGGCTGGATCTGTGGGGCCAGCTCTGTGGGGTTCCTCTGTGGGGCTGGATTTGTGGGGCTGGCTTTGTGGGGTTCCTCTCTGGGGCTGGATCTGTGGGGTTCCTCTGTGGAACTGGATTTGTGGGGTTCCTCTGTGGGGTTCCTCTGTGGGACTGGATCTGTGGGGTTCCTCTGTGGGGCTGGATCTGTGGGGTTTCTCTGTGGGGCTGCTC